TATTTATTACCCAATGGTACATACTGAGAAATGTACCTTTCTAATATGTTTGAATAGTTTCCATTTATCCTCAGTGTTTTTATCACTAAGGAGTTTATGCCAGTCGATATGTTGTAGAGCTGCCCTAATCTTATTGAAATTGGCTTTTTAAAATTATATGTTTTAGTATACCCCACCTGCTTTTGCTTTTTTGAGTTTATTTCAAAATTTACCATATTGTGATCACTATTTCCCAAATGCTCCCCTACTTGAATGTTGGTTAAAAGATCAACATTGTTTGTTATGACAAGATCCAGACAAGCATCCTGTCTAGTTGGTGCTTGTACCAGTTGTGACATAAAGGTGTCCTTTAACACATTCAAAAACCTGATTCCCCTTGCTGAAGTACTAGTCCCTCTTTCCCAATTTATGTCTGGATAAATAAAATCTCCAATAATTAACGTGTTACCTCGATTTGCAGCTTTCTCAATTTGCTCTAACAGCTGTTCTTCCTCATTAATATTTACATTAGGTGGTTTATAACATATCCCAACCAATAATTGATTTCCCTTTGTTTTCCCCAAGCAGATATCTACCCATAAAGCCTCCACCTTTTCCTCGTCACACTCCACATGCCTAAGATTTGACTTTAACTCACGGTTGACATATAAACATACCCCACCACCCTTCTTGTTTTTCCTATCCTTCCTAAATAACGTATACCCATTTAAATTAACTGCCCAGTCATGTGTCTCATCCCACCATGTTTCTGTTATGCCTATTATATCATATTGTTTAGTGTATGCTATTGCCTCTAGTTCCCCATTTTGTTATATAGGCTCCTTGCATTAGTAAGCATACATTTAATATTATCATGAGTCTTTTGTACTTTTTGTGAATTATCAATATTACATACCTCCTCTGTTCTGAGTTTTCCCCTCCCCCATCTCCACCCCCTTTGTTCTGAGCTAAAGCCCATCTCTTTTCCATCATATCTCCATTTTCTAGATTGCTTTGACCCTCCCCCCCCCCTACCACTAGTTCAAAATCTCCTCCAACCTTCTAGCCATCCTATCCCCCAGCACAGCAGACCCTCTTCCGTTTAGGTGCAATCCATCATGACTATACAGGTTGTACCCAAGCGCAAAATCGGCCCAGTGCTCTAAAAACCCAAAACCCTCTTTCCTGCACCAAGACTTTAGCCACGCATTGACCTCTCTAATCTCCCGCTGCCTTTCTGCTGTAGCGCGCGGCACAGGTAATATTTCTGAAAAAATTACCTTGGAGGTCCTTTTCTTAAGCTTACTTCCTAGTTCCCTGAACTCATTCTTTAGGACCTTCCATTTTCCTCTGACTTTGTCATTGGTACCAATATGGACCATGACAGCTGGGTCATCTCCAGCCCCTCCTAATAATCCCTCCACTCTGTCGGTAACATGCCGGACCCGAGCACCCGGGAGACAGCAAACTGTCCGGTTGAGTCGATCAGAGTGGCAGATTACCCTATCTACTCTCTTAATAATAGAGTCCCCTACCACCACAACCTGTCTAGCCTTCCTTACCCTCTCAACCCCACCCGTACTAGAGGGGCTGTTTCCACGGCTGTTAGCAGGAACAGCTTCCTGCAGTACAGCTACTCCTGAGCTGATGCTCCCAACATCTTCACTCAAACAGGCAAATCTGTTAGGCTGCATGAGATCAGGACTAGCTAAACCTTTTCTCTTCCCTCCCCCCCTGCTTCCTCTCCCCACTGTCACCCAGCTACGTGCCTGTTCCCCATTTGTCTTATCTCCTCCCTCTCCACTACCTGTCCCCACTAAACTCTGCTCAGTGAGCAGCAGACTCCTCTCAAGATTTTCAATCTCCCTCAGTGTTACAATTTGCCTCTCCAGATCTCTAATCTGAGCTTCCAGAAATGCCACTCGCTCACACCCACCACAGAGGTATGGACCCTGGACAGAATCATCCAGGCATGCATACATGCGGCATGATGTGCACTGAGTTAAATTTGCAATCTTGCTAGCACTCATCCCCAGGGTTCCGCGGGCTAAGTAATGCGGCCCCTGCCCGCGTGTAACCTCCGGGGTCACATTGAAGGGGTCCATCGGGTCGTCCATGCTGTTAGGGCTACCCGATGCTAAGTATTTCCAGGGGGCCCGCGCAGTGCTTTAAGAGCGCAACCGTGCCCCCTTTGATGAGGTCAGAGGCTAGGAGGAAGTGACTGCCCCGGTCACTTCCTCCCAGCAACCACCTGGAGCCGTGTAGGAGGAAGGAGAGGAGGGAGTCAGAGTGGGAATTCCGACTCCCATCAGGCTGAGCCACTGGACCCCAGGGAAAGGTATGTGTCTGTGTGTATGTCTGTATAGGTCTGTCTGTGTGTCTCTCTGTGTGTATGTATGTTTGTCTGTGTATCTGTATGTATGTGTGTATGTCTGTCTGTTTTTCTGTGTCTGTGTGTGTGTATATGTCTGTCTGTGTTTGTATGTATGTGTCTGTATGTGTATCTGTTTGCATGTGTGGGAGGAGGGGAAAACGTATGGGAGGGGGACGGTAGACGTACGGAGGAGCCCAGGGCAATTTTTGCACTGAGGCCCCGTGGTTTCTAGTTACGTCTGACACTGACCCATACAGACACACACACACACACTGACCCATACAGACACACACATACAGACATACACTAACACATACAGGCACTCACATACAGACACACACTGACCTATACAGACACACACTAACCCATGCAGACACACACACTGATCCAAGCAGACTGACATACATAAACACAAATTCTTTGAAACACACATTGTGATGTTCCATTGACCCTCTTTTGCATGTATGACTTTGCTTTTCATGTCTAACTGGCAGCTTCACTGCGTCTGGCTGCCTTCACTCCTTCTTAACTTGCTTAGGGGTGGGAGCAAGACATTGAAGCACCCTTTCGCTGCTGCGGCAAAGGCAGTCTTTGTGGGGGGCCTGGCTGAGAAGGCTGATGTGGATGCCGCTGGACCAGTATTATACTTGTTGCTAGTCAGCTGTCTACCTTAAGGAGATGAGTACATGAGTTAAAGTGTACAGCTCCACAGGTCAGAAGATTGTGCCTACAGATTTAAAGTTAAAGGGCTGAGTGAAATTCTTCACCGGCCACTACTGCTTTTGCACGAAAAGAATGGAGATCTAAAGTTGCAATAATGGAAGCAGCAGTTAAAAAAAAAGAAAAATTAAATGAAGCTGAGCTGAAAGCAATGATACATTTTGGACAGAGTTTTTGTAAGGTATGTTTGATGGCTGGGTCTAATGGTTGTTGTCTACTGCTTGGGATTAATTGATGTGGAAGGTTGACTGTGAATAAAGGGTGCTTATGGATGGATGGGATTAACAGTGTGGCTAATGGTTTCGTAAATTACTGGCTTTGGTTAAAGTAACCCTTTCTGAGATGGCCTGCACCCTCATCTAAACACTAACACTTATCTCCATTCCAGCTGAGGCCAAGTTCTCCCTGAGGAGCGACCCTCCTTGGTTGATGTCAATCTCCTTTGCTTGAGGGATATCAAAAAGGTCAGTCCAAGGGAGGAAAAGAGGTGGCATGAAGAAAGTTGCGAGGCATGCTGTCATAGGCTGTCTGGCACCAGCAGAGATGTCCAATTTTCATGGAACTTTGTCCTGGGCTGGCTAATGATGCTGCTGGAGGTGAGATTACTCCTCCAGCCACTAAGGGGTTAACCTCTGTATGTGCAGCCTTTGACAGAAAAGCACTGTGCATTCAGACTCCATTTGTGTGGAGTGTCTGAGTGTATTGTATGTGTTTATTGGTTGTGTTCCAAAACACTGTGGGTGGTACTAATGTGTAAGAATGTGTACATAAGCACAATAAACCCACAGCTCTGACTGTTCACTGCTTGACCCTCAAAACAGAGCCTTGTCTCGTTCTTGGGGGGATTTATTGTATGCTGTTCCAGTTTGACTGCTAGGAGTGTAAACCTATTCGTATGGTTTTTTCCTATTCGGCTGTTTACAGCATTCATATGGTTTCCTGTTCGGCGGATTGGTGTTCTGCAGTAGCTGTGCCTGTGTCTCTGGAAGGGAAGATCTACTAGTCGGCGGTTTAACCCTTTTATGCCTGGGGGTGCCGTTACAAATTAATTTACCTGTCAGTTGTTTTAATGTTGTAGATGATTAGTGTATATATGTTTAATAAGAAAGTATTAAAATGCTTTTGGCACTTCAATTAAATAACCTGATACCTCTACCTCACTCCAAGAATACAATTCAAATGACTGTGAAAGGCATGTAGAGAATCTCATATTTCTAGGAGTTCCTATAGGAAAATTTGATACTTTTGGTCAAAATTAAAACTAATACATTTATCCAAAAACATTTTTTAAACCACTCAGAATCACATTAAGATAATACATGCTGTATAATTCTTTAAAATAAAATTCAGTCACTGAGCTCAATCATTAGATAATTTTTTCCCCTTTACTCTATTTCTGTTAGTTATTTCAATTTACAAGATATGAAAACATAATTTGCAATTTCCAGGATATTTGAAACAGTGAAAAGCAATTATAAAATGTCTACAAATTAGTACTTATCTTCACCAGTTAGAATACTGTGAAAACACTGTATCACTGTACCTTATAGCCAGAATCATGTATCTACTGCTCAACTATAACTTGTTTTGACCCCAAACATTCCATTTAGAGTACATGCACCTCTACTTTTGAAACTAAAATGTTCCTCTTTTCCTCTGCATGGAAGAAAATATTCTTACATTTCAAAGGCTAAATATAACCATCCTCAACTTGAAGGAACACCCTAAGCATTATAACCAGTAAAGCTTGAGGGTAGCAGTTATGGTAAAAGGTTATGGTAAATCTCCAGCTCTAAGGAGATTCAGTAATGGTTTGATTCCTTACAATGCAAGCTGCAGTGGTTATTGCGTTTGCAGCGTTCCTTTACTTAATTTGACATTGTCATCAACCAAGTCTGTAATGGGAACAACCCTAGAATGACCTAATTGTCAATACAGGGAGTGCAGAATTATTAGGCAAATGAGTATTTTGACCACATCATCCTCTTTATGCATGTTGTCTTACTCCAAGCTGTATAGGCTTGAAAGCCTACTACCAATTAAGCATATTAGGTGATGTGCATCTCTGTAATGAGAGGGGGTGTGGTCTAATGACATCAACACCCTATATCAGGTGTGCATAATTATTAGGCAACTTCCTTTCCTTTGGCAAAATGGGTCAAAAGAAGGACTTGACAGGCTCAGAAAAGTCCAAAATAGTGAGATATCTTGCAGAGGGATGCAGCACTCTTAAAATTGCAAAGCTTCTGAAGCGTGATCATCGAACAATCAGCGTTTCATTCAAAATAGTCAACAGGGTCGCAAGAAGCGTGTGGAAAAACCAAGGCGCAAAATAACTGCCCATGAACTGAGAAAAGTCAAGCGTGCAGCTGCCACGATGCCACTTGCCACCAGTTTGGCCATATTTCAGAGCTGCAACATCACTGGAGTGCCCAAAGCACAAGGTGTGCAATACTCAGAGACATGGCCAAGGTAAGAAAGGCTGAAAGACGACCACCACTGAACAAGACACACAAGCTGAAACGTCAAGACTGGGCCAAGAAATATCTCAAGACTGATTTTTCTAGGTTTTATGGACTGATGAAATGAGAGTGAGTCTTGATGGGCCAGATGGATGGGCCCGTGGCTGGATTGGTAAAGGGCAGAGAGCTCCAGTCCGACTCAGACACCAGCAAGGTGGAGGTGGAGTACTGGTTTGGGCTGGTATCATCAAAGATGAGCTTGTGGGGCCTTTTAGGGTTGAGGATGGAGTCAAGCTCAACTCCCAGTCCTACTGCCAGTTCCTGGAAGACACCTTCTTCAAGCAGTGGTACAGGAAGAAGTCTGCATCCTTCAAAAACATGATTTTCATGCAGGACAATGCTCCATCACACGCGTCCAAGTACTCCACAGCGTGGCTGGCAAGAAAGGGTATAAAGAAGAAAATCTAATGACATGGCCTCCTTGTTCACCTGATCTGAACCCCATTGAGAACCTGTGGTCCATCATCAAATGTGAGATTTACAAGGAGGGAAAACAGTACACCTCTCTGAACAGTGTCTGGGAGGCTGTGGTTGCTGCTGCACGCAATGTTGATGGTGAACAGATCAAAACACTGACAGAATCCATGGATGGCAGGCTTTTGAGTGTCCTTGCAAAGAAAGGTGGCTATATTGGTCACTGATTTGTTTTTATTTTGTTTTTGAATGTCAGAAATGTATATTTGTGAATGTTGAGATGTTATATTGATTTCACTGGTAATAATAAATAATTGAAATGGGTATATATTTGTTTTTTGTTAAGTTGCCTAATAATTATGCACAGTAATAGTCACCTGCACACACAGATATCCCCCTAACATAGCTATAACTAAAAACAAACTAAAAACTACTTCCAAAAATATTCAGCTTTGATATTAATGAGTTTTTTGGGTTCATTGAGAACATGGTTGTTGTTCAATAATAAAATTTAATCCTCAAAAATACAACTTGCCTAATAATTCTGCACTCCCTGTAGTCTCAACCAGTTAAACCATAAGCCTACCAATGAGTGAAACACATGCCTTAAATTCTACCCCAACCTGTAAGCATCCACAGATGTCCTTCTCAAGTGGCAAGCACAGATTTCACCATTACTATTTGGGTTTTATTATATTATATGTGAATTTATATCGTGTTGAGGAACTTAAAGTGATTTTTGTATATTTTGTATATTGAAAGTTGTATACATGATTTGCATATATATATGAAATAGTTAAAAGAAAATCTGCTCACCATTAAAAATAGAATCAGATTATATTACTTTATAAACCAACCTTTTCTATCTGTCCATTTTACGGTCTAATCCATTTACTCATTGTGCCCCTCAGTGCCCTTCTATATCTCATAAATCACATGGCATATCTTTTTCATTTTAAATGCCACATTAAAAAATATATTTTTATGCCCCTGCATGAAAAGATTTAAATCATTTTACGATCGTAATCCTTCTACCAAGTTAGTTGCCGTCTAGACGTATATTGCATATAAAGCAGCTCTGTTTCTGTGTTCACAAATCCTATAAAAGAAAATCCAAAAGTAGAAACAAATAAATATAAGAGAAGGCATACAATGTAAGAGTTTATCCCTGATGTGGAATGTCTTTATTTAAAAGTTATATCGTCCTATTACTCAAAAACAGAGGGTGATCATCATTTGTTTTCTGATGTCATTAGACAGTAAGTTCCAGAGCTGAGCTATCAACATGGATCACCGCTCGTTCTTTCCGGCCAACTTTGTCTTTTTTGTATTTTTCAGTATCTTGCACTTCCTTCTTCAGAATAGCTTTTCTTTGGCTTTTATTGGTCAGAGCTGTCACTTAAAGTCCCACTTCACTAAGGCATACAGGCATCCATACATAATTCAGCACATAGGGCTAGCCCACAGAGCTTGAATATAACACACCTGCTCCCTCACGAACAGCTCAACTCCTCAACACTCACATAGAGTACCACCACCACCAAGCCTACTGAACATAGATATTGTTAAAACAAGCCATGCCTTACCTGAAACCCAATGACACAAAACAGTCGAACATCTCTGCCTTGTTTGCTAAAAATCTTTCAAAATGTTACTGTTGTATGTGACTGTTTGATGCTTGACCCAAAGCGAATGTCTCACGAAACTCTCTCTAAACTTAATGCACATATGTATAAAAATGTGATCCTGATGCACCGAAATGAAAAATAAAGAATTTAAAAAAATAAAATAAGTCACCCTGAACTGGTTAACATTCTCTATAGCATTAAACATATCCATCTCAATCACACAATTCTGTTTGTGATATTATTGATTGTTTGTTGGACAAGGTTCTCCCATCCATCATTCCGATTGAGACAGTTATGATATGTTAATGAACTAACATTTTAGTGAGATAGATATATATACATACATATCTATCTATCTATCTATCTATCTATCTATCTATCAGCAAAGCTATTTTTCACATATTGAGTTATAGATGATGAGGTCTCTTCTGAATACTATGCTTGTTTTAAATCTACATTGAATTATTCTGGTAGATAATAGAATGTTAAAATATGTGACAGCATTTTTCAAATAATCACACCTAATTAAAAAGAAAATACTGTTTGATGCTTAAGTTGAGCTCCAGCAGTTAAGGAAAACGAGGTAGCTTGATTCATTAGTCTAGAAAGTCTAGTCTAGACTTTCAGGGATTTTTACTAAAGTGAAAATTCAAAATGAGTTCAAACTGAAATTCATATTTAAGGCCAGAGTAGAAACTGAAAGCATAGCTGACCATTAATTTGAAATTCAATTTGAATTTCCTTTTAATTCTCACTTTCACTAAACACCGGATTTTGTATGAATGGACAATGGATACGGGCCCTAACATTAATAATAAATTGGGGAAGACCTTGTATACTGAGAAATAAATAAACAAAGTGCTGCTGAGGTTTATTTGTTTTTTTACTATAATCTGGGCCTGGGTATGAAGCCTCTGGGCCCGGATTAAATTAATTTGGTCTGGATTTCAGCAATCTCAATTAAATTTTGTTGGATAAGCTTTTTTAGAATGATTTAATATATCTGGATAAACTTTTAAAATAATTTAACCCCTTAGTGACCAGACCACTTTTCAATTTTCTTACCGTTTGAGACCAGGGCTGTTTTTACATTTCTGCTGTGTTTGTGTTTAGCTGTAATTTTCCTCTTACTCATTTGATGTACCCAAACATATTATATACCGTTTTTCTCGCTATTAAATGATCTTTCTAAAGATACCATTATTTTCATCATATAATATTATTCACTATAAAAAAATATAAAATATGATGAAAAAAATACACTTATTCGAACTTTGACCCCTAAAATCTGTTACACATCTACAACCACCAAAAAACACCAATGCTAAACAGTTTTAAAATTTTGTCCTGAGTTTAGAAATACCCAATGTTAACATGTTCTTAGCTTTTTTTGGAAAGTTATAGGGCAATAAGTACAAGTAGCTATTTGCAAACCATTTTTTTTTTTCTTCAAAATTTACATTTTTTTTTCAAAAGATACATTATAACACTATCTGTCAGGAATCCCTGAATAACCCTTCACATGTATATATTTTTTAAAAGAAGACAACCTAAGGTATTAAACTTGGGGTATTTTGACTCTTTTCATGCAACCATTTTACCACCAATCTATGCCAAATTAAAAATAATAATAATAAGTGATTTTTTTTGACACACATAGTAATTTACGAATACATGTACGGAGAACTTTAAGGGTTACTGCCAAAGAACACCCCAATATGTGTTCAGCAACATCTCCTGAGTACAGTGATAGCACACATGTACAGGTGTGCCGGGTTCTCTGGGGGCTAAAAGATCTTATTTGGAGGGTGTGCATTCCAGTTTTCCAACTTGGAATTTTTACAGCTGGTCATCATGCACCCATGTCCTATTTGGGACATTTTTGAAGCTGGCCAATGTAATTTACCGCCATCAAACCATATATTTTTGAAATGTAGACACCCTATGATATATCAAATGGTGACATTTTAACACTTTACATGCTCTAATTCTACCACTAGTGTTTGTCAAACTTTTGAGTGGTCATTTTTTGTGTGTTATTTTTCTCTTTCATTGTACTTTAGACATGGATTCTCAGTTCCTGTTATGTGTTACTGACAAAGAACACCCCAATATATGTTCAGCAATATCTCCCGAGTACAAGAGTGCCCCCAAACTTACAGGGGTCAAATGTAGGGCTTTCCTATTTTCCCCCTTTTCCCACGGTATTCAAAATAGGGTATGTCCAGTCCTTTTTAGTAGCCACCTAGCCACAAACGCTGGCCAAAGTTAGCGTTTATTTGTTTTTTGCATTTTTTTTTCTACACAAAAACTGCACTTTTACTGGTGATTTCATCGTCATAAGTTTTACCGTTTTAAACACTCATATTTGTTTTCAGCATATTTGTCTCCTGAGTAAAACAATACCCGCCATGTACAGGTTTAATTGGTGTTTTTTAAAGTTACCGGGTCAATATAGGGCTTGCCCAATTCAGTTTGCCAGATTGGTGTGCTGGATCTGTGTTGACTTTTTAGACCATATGGTAGCCCAGGAATGGGAAATAACTCCATCATAGCATACCATTTTAAAATGTAGACAACCCAGGGTATTCAAAATGGGGTATGTCCAGTCTTTTGTAGTAGCCACTTAGTCAAAAGTTAGCGTTTTTATTCATTTTTTATAAATGTTTTTTTTCCTATAGAGATATATATATATATATATATATATATATATATATATATATATATATATATATATATATATATATATATATATATATATATATAATACACAAGATCCAGCGCACTCACCTATCCACTAAACAGCAACTTCAAAGTTGAAAGATTTTATTTGTTTTTTTTAAAAACACCTAATCTAGGCAAAAATAATGGGGGTTTAGTTACATTATATGATCTTACATTGCATAAGCCTGCCACAACGTCAATGTACCCCATCTTTGGCAGGTCCTACACTAACAGCCTAATGTCTGCTCTTATGAGATTAACCTACTTGGGGAAATAAATTCCATCTGGGGCTCTCTGCAGTACAAGGCTAAATAGGGCCCTGGGATGAGGCACCTGTGACAGGGAGGGGTGCAAAACCAAGGAGTTGGCTAGACTCCCAAATATATATAAAACAAGAGGGGTTGGCTGCACTCACCTTAACATGCATAAATGGGGGTGCTGCTGGGGGCCAAATAATACAATACACAAGATCCAGCGCACTCACCTATCCACTAAACAGCAACTTCAAAGTTGAAAGATGTTATTTGTTTTTTTTAAAAACACCTAATCTAGGCAAAAATAATGGGGGTTTAGTTACATTATATGATCATACATTGCATAAGCCTGCCACAACGTCAATGTACCCCATCTTTGGCAGGTCCTACACTAACAGCCTAATGTCTGCTCTTATGAGATTAACCTACTTGGGGAAAAATTCCATCTGGGGCTCTCTGCAGTACAAGGCTAAATAGGGCCCTGGGATGAGGCACCTGTGACAGGGAGGGGTGCAAAACCAAGGAGTTGGCTAGACTCCCAAATATATATAAAACAAGAGGGGGTTGGCTGCACTCACCTTAACATGCATAAATGGGGGTGCTGCTGGGGGCCAAATAATACAATACACAAGATCCAGCGCACTCACCTATCCACTAAACAGCAACTTCAAAGTTGAAAGATTTTTAATTAAAGCATTTTATAATATATTATACCTATATAATGCATATATAAGATTTCATTATAAGTGTATACACTTGTAATTAAATCATATATATGCATTATATAGGTATAATATATTATAAAATGCTTTAATTAGTTTATAATATATTATAAAAATATAATATATGTATAACATTTATTTTTTATTTATTTATTTTTTTACTTTTTAGCAGCCTTCCAGGAAATTCCTGAACCACTAAACTGAGCTGGGTGAATTTTGGATATGTTGGGCACCCATATCAGTTCAGGGGTTCAGGAATTTCCTGGAAGTCATTTATTTGACCGACCGCAGGCATGGTCCCATGACCATTGACGACCGTTTTTGGCTGACGTTCCCTGTATGTCCGCGGTCACTAAGGGTTAAAGGACATTGTTCTCACTATAACAACTTAATCTAAATGAAGTTATTATAGTGCCTCCATTTGTTCCCCCTTATTAGTGGCCCCAAATACCATTATTTAACTAATTAGAGGGCTTGGAAGCACACCCACAAGCCCTTTTTATTTGTGAGCTGGGACTGTTATTTATTTGCTGTCATACCCTAGCATACTGTGATGTCACACGCACATACTCAGTGCTCATGGACTGCCATAGAGAATCATTGCATGCAATCGTTCAGTATGGAAGAACCATAGGCGCATTAAGAAAAGTGCTGTGCATGTGCCTACAGTTACACCTCCAGGATGTTATTAGGTGAGGAGGAGTCGCAGCAGCTCCTAGGTGTTGAATTGGCGCTGAAAACAAAATGAGTAAACTCCTTTATTTTGTTTTATTTAGTTTGTTAATTGCGGGCAGAGGGCTCTAGAAAAAAACTAGGGACATTTAGACTGTAGTGTTTAGAATACAGGTATGCATTCCTAACGTTACAGTGTCCTTTTAATAGTATGGCAACTATTTTAATGTTGTAATATTTGGAATTATTTTGTTATATAGATTTTTTTTATCTATAATATTTTTTATTTTTAAATTTTTTATTTTTGTAGTGCAGAAGTTAATACAGGTGAGTAAGAGGTGCCCTAAAGGCAGTCCTCTAACAATTACCACGCTTAACATGCGGGCACAAGGTTAACATGCACAATTTTTAAATTATGGTCTGGCTTAATCATTCGATTGTAAAACAAGTGTAAAACATAGCTAAGCTCCGTCAACGCATAAACACATCTGTATGATCTAAGCAGGCTCAACAGTATACCTTCGGCTGTAGATATATATCAATGCTGTAGACAAGTTTGATCTGAGCGGAAGCTAAGTAATTGATAGCATGAGTAAGAAAGGCATGAGTTATAAGACAAGTGTCAGCGCTATATCATACTGGGAAAATTTTAACTGACTGCTGCCCTGATGACATATGGTGTTGTATAAGTCCACTTACGGCGTTTAGCCTATCCCGCTTTGAGTCCATGTGTGGTGTGGCCATATGATACCAGTCTCTTCGTACCCTTCCAGCCCTAGCCGGTTGCTGTGTAGAGGCATGAAAAGTTGTCGGTCTTGTGTAAAATGCGGCTTAGGGGGGGCTATCTCTGGGTTGCATTGCTCCTGCCAGGGGAGTCTGGGACTCTGTAGTCCAGGTGGGTAGAGCGGTCCACTCTGTTGGGCTTGTCGGTGAGGCATCACCCGTCGTTGTAGCTTCTTGTGCCTTCTCCTTTTGAGAGTCGTACGGGAGGGGGGGGGGGGTGTTTTGCCGCTTCGTTTCACAAGATGTCCCCCTGACGCTGCTGGGCTTTCCGCTTGTTTATGGAGTAGCTCTCTGGGTTGCTCTTCCTCAGGAGCTCGGTTTAGTGTCACTGCAAGGTGGGCCTCCAACTTGGCCCAGATGCTGGCAAAGATTGCATCCAGGCATTCCAGTATATGTTCATATGTTCTGCGGCCCCTCCTTGTGACTCTGTGGGCTGTGCCAGGGTCAGCTGGTGGAACAGAGGCATGGCCGCCATTTTAGGTGGGTCGGCTTCAGGTAGGAGTCTTGGAGTGACAGTCGCTTATAGTCTGGCAGACGTTAGCCAGTGGATACTGGGATAACCCCCACCAGTCCGGGGGGAGGGAGGGGTTGGCTTTGTTCCCGGGTCCGCTCAATTCATCCGAGGAGCTAGGGGAGTGGCCGTCTCCCCCAGGCTCAAGCATATGCAAGGCTGCAAGCTGCTAGCAGGTCGATCCGGGACCGGACAGGTCCACTGCGGGTGTCCTCTGATGCACCAGAGACCGCTCAGCCTTATGAGTGCCTCTACGGTCTGTTAATTAGCTTTTATTCTTGCTTTATTTGGGCCAGAAGCAGGAGCTCTTCCAGAGCACGTCTGGTTGCCTCAGCTGTCAGGCACCACCCCCCCATATATAATATTTTGATGAAACAAATATTTAAAATGTTTTTCTAAAAAAAACATTAAATCATTTAAAATGCTTATTAAATATAAAATCAAGGCTAATATCTGAATTTTGGCCAGTGTCTTCTGTAGTCTAGTCAGTGTGAACACCGGCCCTGCAGGAACAGATATAGAGGGTGTAAAACTCAGTGCTGTTCCAGCTACTCCAAGATGGTTAGTACTTTGTAAATAACACTTCAAACTGCAGCACTTACAGCCTAAACCTGAAAATAAACTCCTTACTTTAGTCCTCTGTTAAACTCCTCTTAAAGACAAAACACCTCATATACCCAAACACTAAAATATAATATACTACAGTGTTAACCCTCTCTCAAGCTGTTAATCTTCTTAACACCATACACACTATAATTGTCCCTCTCTAACATTAAAACCCCATTCACATTAACCACTTCTAACATTACCTTTAACACTGTGTGCATTTAAACAGATTCAAACACAATGCATTACAAGCAGAGCCGAAATATGCACATACACACATTAATACATATGCAGTTGACAAGTATGAATATTTTTTTAAGATGTTTTTAGGCCTGCAATGTCCACTTAATAAAATATAATTACTTTATTTGCCCTATTTTGGGCTTGGGGAGCAGGGGGCACATTAGAATTTGGTGCCTACAGACACCTGACATGTAGATCCAGCCCTGATTTAGCTCTGTTCGTTTCAGGGCATTCGGACTTTAGTTAATAATCGTGCATGTACCCACTAAATAGCAAGAATGTCCAATGTTTTCTGACATTTGTGCAAAAACACAACAGTGTATTCAGCATTCATTCAAAAGTGCAAACTAGTGTTGGCAAACACTCCGATACAGGTTTACATTCTATTGCCCACTTACAAAGAAAGTTAATTTGCATCTGCTGAACAATGAAACTAATGTCAGAATATTTGGCAAAACATTTGAACAAATGAATGATTCATAGGTTCTTGTGCATTTGTACAAATCCCTAACCAGTATTAGTAGTAATAGTAAACATTTTTAAATGCTTTCCTTATTTTAAGTCGGTTTTGCCTCAAACATTGATCAAGTGATTATTTGTGGTTACAGTGGTCAACAAACAAATTAAAGTCTCATATTTCCACAGTTTCACTGTTTTACATTAATTGTTATTTTTAGCACCCACTCTTCTGTTGAGTGAGTAGAATTCCTTGTCATTCAGTTTGCAGGTTATCTTCTTCAAAGCTGCTAAGTTTACAGGCTATAGCTAAAATATATATATATATATATATACACATATAAATTTTTTGTTAGAGCATCACTTATAATACAATCCAGCATTGCAGCTACTTTAAAATATGATTAAGCACATACGGCATTATGCCATCAAACAATGACTGCATAGAAGATAAATCTATGTAGCTAATGTAAATAATATATACAAAACAATCTAACAAAACCATGCAAAAGCCATCGAGGCCACGAGTGCAAAAGGAGACGCTTGTAGAATAAATATATCTTAACATAAGATGAAAGCCTTTCTGTAAACCAAACCTATATATAAAACAAGAAATTGCAACAAATTCAATGCAATAGAATTATACAATAAAACATGCATTCACTAAAAGTATACACTAGAAGTGGATTTGACGTATGTAACAACAGAATTAAAAATTACGTATTTGGTGAACACACTGGTTAATCTAATAGTATAAAAATACAAAGGTATATGTCATTTTTCTATTTCAAACAACATAGATGGGAAAATTGAATACAAGGCAAACGAGAGTGGCTAATGAAATAACATCATTTGAAACAACATTATACACGATTCTTCTTATAATATGTTTGCCTATAAGACATCAAATTGCTTCTTGTCTATGAGTTAATATTATTACTTGGAAAAAAAACAAACATTTTTCATGTTTATAATCAAATGTGCAGCTGGTACTTAAATTCTGAGTACCATTATTTTATTATCTAATTTCTT